TTCTGTTGCACTGCATGGCAAAATATCAGTAATTATAGCAAGACCTTGTAGACTAGATACTTTGCAATGCTGACCTGAATTCAAGCTGGCAACACTTGAGCCACTCCTGCAAAGGAAAAATGTCCATGCGCATCTTCCTTTGTAGGGGCTTGATGCAAGCAACAATTAGTAGTGCATCTGATATCTACCAAAAGTGGGGCTTGACACTCAAAGCATAGCTTGCTGTGCCACTTGACACCATAGTGAGATCAGCTGATTGACAGCTAGGTGGCCCCACCCAGCTGTCAAAATATGTATATAACCTATGTACAACATGCTCTGAACACACTTGAGGCTTCCCTAATGTAGGGGCACCTCTATCAACGAACCCCTACCTTAGTGTTAATGTGAATGTACCTGAATATACTGGTTGGGTAGAAGGAGAATGGGAAGGGGGCATTACTGGGAATGGTTTATCTGTGTGGAATCCAAATAACATTTGACCTGCCAGGCAGGTAGTGGCATTGGCTCACCTTTAGGTGGCTCTCATCTCCCTGCAAACTTATTCAAGAAACGGAAATTTTAGTTTATTTCTATTCCACCTTTTCCCCAGAACCGGGACCTAAGGCAGCGCACAAAAATTACAGCTAAAACACACCTAGCTAAAGCCATATAAAAATAATAATCAAACTATCTATGGAATTAGTGCAATATAAAAACATATCTATTAAAATGCAGATAGTTTTTAAAAACACAAAACACTATTAAGGGCCCTCTGCTTTTTTAAAAAAGCGTGCTAGAATACAAAATTCTTCACCTGCTGGTGGAAGGACAGCAAGGAATTGCAACTTAGGAGGCTGAGCTCACTGTGCTTGTTGCTTGAGAGGCAGAGGATACAGGTTTATCTTTCGCAATTGATTACACACTGTGTCACAGCTAGGGATACCTAAAGGATTGGGTGATAAGATCTGCTTCACTGTTCCATCATGATAAATCCTCTACTAAGTTTTATTCTTTATTGACACAAATGTCATGTGTTAAATAATTTTCCTTGCAGGAGGAAAAAAATGTCAATAGATTTTGGGATGGTGGGTGGGCAAAATTGTTGCTGTGATTAAAAAAAATTAATCCTGTTTTTTTAATCATTCTCTATCATGAAAACCTATGCCATAGTAAAGCTATTAGACTTCATGGTGGCTCGAGCCTGCTCTCTGAAAAAAGACAATTTTAGTTATAAATAAATAAATATCCTTGTCCTAAAACTGATTGTTTTGTAACAGCACCAGATAAAAAAACTGCAATAATTGTTTGCAAGTCAAATGTAAGAGCTTAAGGAGCATTTGAAATTGCCAGGGCTTTGTGGAAGGGAAGAGGGAGGTGGGACCCAGCTGGGGAAGCAAATGGAAATGAAAAATATTCTTCTGACAATTTGTTTAAAACCAGTGCTCTTAGTTGAAGGATACACACTAAACATTATAACATGAACATTAAAGATGGAGCAAGGCTAACAGTTTATCAGCAGCTCATTATTTAGTGCAGAAATGAATCAATTTATTTGACAGGCAGGTAAGAGCCTGGCTCTCTTGGGGAAACTAACAGAGATCAGAACAATAAATCACAGATGGGGAAGCTGTGGTCCTCCAGATGTTGCTAGACTCACATCTCCCATCTGCCCAAGCCAGCATGACCAGCGATCAGGGATGACGGCGTTGTTGTCCAGCAACCCTGGGAGAGCCACAGGTTCCCCATCCAAGCTATAAAAGAACAAAAATCTGTTGAATGTTACCATTTCCAAAGAACCTGTAGCCTAGGCCACACACCTCTTTGATCAGAGCTTCCCACTGGGTGACAGAATAATTTGACTGGATTGCAAATTAACACTGATTAAACTTTTCTTCTCGTACATCAGCATGTCAGATATTTTTAAATCATACACAAGCAAAATGTGAGTCTGATTGCATGCATTCCATAGCAATTAAAGTTGCTTCAGTAAGTTTGAAAAGTTATGACAACAACTAGCACCTGTTGGACTAATGCTAAGGCAAAAGTCTCCATTAAAAATGCAGTTCATGTGGAAAAGGATATAGGTGTCCCAGAGGATAGAAAGCTGAACACGAATCAGTAGTGTGCTGTGACTATTTAAAAAGTGAACACATTCTTAAGCTAGATTATCAGAAACATCATCTCCAAACAGTTCTATTTTTCAAGTTCCGGCTGAAAAAAGGCCCTGTTACCAGACCATATGAAGCAACAATTCAATTCTGTTCTGTGCTAGTCAGGCCACCGTGGAAGCACTTTGTCCAATACTGGGCACCACATTTCAAGAAGGACGTTGACCCACTAGAAGCAACCAGGGCAGTGAATGGCTTGGAAACTGCACTATGGAGGTGGGGTCTGTCAGAAAAGGATCCCCCACCCCGGAACATTTGTTATGTCTGCCAGTGAAGCACAAAGCATCAACATATGTTTCACACACAATAAAGGAAGTCATTACAGTAACTAGTATGGCCCATGTACTCTTCTTTCACTTGTTGGTAGTTGCTGAATTGGTGTGTGTTGGAATTTGCAAATGCCCACTTTATAAGACCATCTGGGTCATCGCTGGAAATAACAGAGCTTGAGCTCTATTGACAGGAGCAAGCCAGCAGTGAATCACATTGTGCATGTTGGAGTTAACTCTTTTTTTTTAAAAAAAAAAGCAAGAACAGGATCTGCACAAGCTTGGCAGTGTGTCAGGCCTAATAAGTACAGGGACCCTTGTCCCATGGATCAGTTGCTGAGACTGAAGGCCCCTGCCCTTCTACAGTTGTTTCCATGCTCCATATTTTGTCTAGCCATTCCTTCAGATTGTAATTCGTTTTATCTAATTTTAATATCTCATTTTTTAATTGTTGTACCTCTCCCTGGGATGAAATGCGGGTAAGAAATCTTAATCATCATAATCTCCAGGGACTATCCTGATGAGCTCCCTGCACTTCAAAATCTGGCACTACGCCATTGTGAACTGGTCTAAATTCAGCCAGTGTCAATTTCACATGGAACGGATGTCAAATGAGATGGAACATTTTAACATTTCAAGATGCTTATGATGTCAGTGATTCAACGTCAAAGGAAGAATCAGGAGCAAGCATTAAGTGTTGTATTCAAACCATGACTGCAAATACCCTTGCCAAAAGATGGGCTTACAGTCAGTGCTGAATTTAAATGAAAGCAATGCTTTCAACAGAGACCAGCTACTCAGCAGCTCAGCTCAGGAGCTCCTGAGTGGAACCAATACCAGGGGGACTTGCATCTGGTGCCAAATATAAAAGGTGCCAAATGTAAGTCTCGCTTGCACAACAATAACTGGGAGTGTGTTCTAAGGCTTCTGATTGTTCCTTTGCAGCTGTAGCTTTACTGTCACACACAAATTAAGCCCACTAGGAATCCTAATTTGGCCTACAAAAACGGTGTAGGCAGATTGTTTTGGCTGAGGAAAGAAGTCTTGTGGGCCCAATTAAGACTCCTGGTGGGCCTATTTTGGCCCAGTGGTTGGAGGTACCCCATCCTTGGTGTAACCATGCTAAAAATATAAGGTAAAGGTACTAGATGGACTAAGTCGAGGGGGCTGCACTGCCTGCCATGATGCTCCTGGGTGCTGTTCAATGTCTTATTTTTAGCATTTAAAGCCCATAGCAAGCTGGGACCAGATTACCTAAAGGACCACCTCACTCCATATGTCCTTGACCAGCAACTGCACTCCTTATATGTGGCACTCCTGAAATAACTGCTTACCCTATTGATGTGCTTAATTTGTCCTAAAAACTGGGCTTTTAGTGTTGCGGCTGCAGCCATCTGGAATTAATTGCGAGTTGAAATAATTAATAAATAATGGCTTGACTTGCTTTAAGGCAGTTCCCTATACTCCTACCTCTTCTTTCTCTGCTTGGACCCCGCTCCCTTCCCTGCTGATTTATAGCTGCTGGGCATAAACTGCGTTCCAAAGTGTGGGCTGCCGCTGTAACGTTTAGTTTGGCTTTTCGGCACAGTTAGCTGGGCTGCAAACCTGAGCTGACTATTTGTCTTAAAATAAAAAGGCCATTTTAATGCCACACGAGGGTCTCATTAACTCTGCTAGTTTAAATACTTCATAGCTACCATGCAATAGCATGGCTCTAGCCATTCCTTTTATTCAATGGCAACAGCTGACTGACCATTATGCTTTCTGTAATGTTTCTATAAAGTTTCATTTATTAAGAGGCTGTTTAGTGCGCCTGAGTTTATTTGGTTTTTAAACATAAACGGGGGGGGGGGGGGGTGGATGCATTTTGGATCTCTCAAAGCCCAAGAGGAAATGAACAGCTCCAAAGGGCTACAACTCTTGAGATTTAAGAGTTATTTCCCTCCATCTAATAGCAAGGCAGTATCCTTCATTAAGAATATTATCTCTATGTGTGCATGCCAGATGTTCTGAGACAGCGGATAGAAGTGTCACACTAGAGGCAATCTTGAAACAGATTTTTGCAAATGCAGCATTTTTTAATACAGCATTGTATTCTATGAGCCATAAGTAAATAAATACATAAACAATTGCAGACACATACAAAAGCAAAACCTTATTTGCTCAGCTTAGGTTTTGTCCACACTTGCCCCGCTTGCCCCGTGCCTAGAAAGCATGGGTCTAAGTAGTCTTCCATTTGCCCCACTGCTTTCCTTGGGGAAACAAACTCTTTAGCACTGAATCGGAACATATGTCAATCCATGGAAAACCCAATTGATGTTTGCTGCAATTCAGCAGTAAAGATTGAGTTTTCTCAGGGGAAAGCGGCAAGACAGGCAGAAGGCCGGATGAGCCCACAATTCCATTATACTGATGATCTCAAAGTAAGTTTTACAGGCTGCTGCTGCACAACCTAGAGAAAGTTGATTAAAACCACCATGCTTATTCAAATGCTGTCCTTAACACATGTAATTTCAGCAGACCAAAGGAAATTTGTTTCCATGTGGAACAGCTGCAACATATAAAAACAATTAGTGTCTACCTGAGTGATGTCCATTCCAGCATCACAGCTCAGTGGCTGGGTTGACGTGAGACCATTTGAGCCTATTAATGTTGTGATCACATCATTTCCATCAATCTTCCGAATCATGGTGCCATCAACAAAGTAGATGAAGCCGTGCTTATCTACAGTAATACCTATTGGGGAAGAGGAAAGGAGATTAAGCAGGGAAACTACCAGGGACCAGAACTATAAATCAGTGGTCGGGGAGCCAGTGGCTCTCCAGCTGCTGTTGGACTCTCATCAGCCCCAGCCAATATGGCCAGTGGCCAGGGATTATGGGAGTTGTGGTTCAACAAAAAATACCTGGAGAGCATAGGTTTCCCCAGTTCTGCTATAAATGCTGGCTTTGTTTCATTCTATTGGCTTTTTCTGGTTTGATTTGATAATATCCCCCCATTTTATTTGTCTTTTTATGTGTGTTGAAATTCATGAAACCATCTGGAAAAAACCCCTCTGAAAGCACAGTGATTATTCTGCGCTTTTGTGAACATGCTTTACTCTCATAAAGAATGAAGAAACCGTGGGGAAAAAATAGCACAAAGCAATGAGGTTTATGAAAACACAAACTCCAGCCTGAAAATCAGCAGTTGGGTTTAAACTGAATTTGCCAGATGATGATAATAAACAATATTTCATATATCAATCTACCTATCTACTTAAATATTTCTATCTTGCCTCTCTTACAGCTTGAACTGGCTTACAAATACAGCTACAAACTATTTTAAGAACTGTAAAAACCTGTTTATTATTTGTATATGCAGTAGTGAGAAAAAAGATACAGTGGTGGTGAGCAGTATGTTGAAGACAGGGCAGAAAGATTAAGCCAGCAAACATCAAACTACCTTAGACAGATGGGTAGGAACAGAGGAGCAAAGGAAACTGACTTTTACTGAGTTAGACCATTAGTCCATCTCATTCAGTGCTGTATATACTGACCCATAGCAGCTTTCCAGGATTTCTGATAAGAGGTTTTCCCCAGCTCTACCTGGTGTTGTCAGTGACTGAATATAGAACCTTCTGCATGCAGCAATGGCTCTTTTCACATGTAGAAGCATAATTATCATTATAGTTCCTTATAATCTCTATAGTCTAAATTTTATTTAGTTCCTTTGATGCAGAAATCTACTACCAAAGCCTGTAGTAGAAGGATTCAGGTTCTACAAGCAGGTCCACCTTGAAAGCACGTTTATTCTGTGACTGCAATGTTTTTTATAGAATAAAATACATGCACACACACACACACACACACACACAGCTTTTGGAATGTGACTTTAAGCTATATTCTGGAAATGGGGGAACCTGTGGCCCTCCAGATATTGTGAGACTACAGCTCCTATCATCCCTTGCCACCAACCATGTTCGCTAGGGCAGATAGGAGCTGAAGTCCAGCACCATCTAGATAGCCATTGGTTCCCCATATTTGCTCTGCACACTTTCATTTAAGTTATGAGCAAACATGCACGGGATTGCATTGCACAGATTGGGTTAACGAGGCACAAACAGACAAAAAAATGTGGATGTGGACTTCACAGTGAAAAGTATATGGAAGACACTTCAAAACTGAAGGAAGCCCCCCTTCCATAATGCAAAAAATTGGAATGACAATTGAGACTGCAGCAAGGGATGTAGTGGAAGGCCAAAGGAAGGCTAGAAAAGAAACAATATTGCACACAAGTTCTGCAGAAAAATGATAAGCCACTCAGGATATGAAAAAGGATTCCTGCCTTCCTGAGAGCTGGTTTAAATATTGATGTTTCAGAGGGTGCAATAAAAAGTAGTATATTCAAGGTGGTGTTAGCCTGTAAGAAATCAGAAAGGTCCAAACCTTGGCAAAGATCTGGGATGGAGGACCTGTTGAACTCCAACTCACATAATCTCTCACCATTGGCCATGCTAGCTAGGATTCATAGGAATTGAAGTTCAACAACATCTGGAGTACCATGGGTTCCCTGTTCCTGACATAGATATTATACCATAGAAAGATAAATCCCAATGTTTGTTTCCTTGATGGACAGGAGCAGAAATGAACTGTGCACTGACCCTGCTTTGTCTGTCATCTCATGCATAGAGTACAAAGAAATTTTTCATATATCAAAACAAAGGAAGTCATCACACACAAAAATGTACATAGAAGAAAAGATAGTAGTGCTCATGGGAGTGATTCAAGCAAATGTGGAGTATAACAAGCAACAACTGATGGATTGACATTTTATTGAGAAATGGGGAGTGGCATTATGGGGATGGTGAATGGATCAATAAACTTCTCATGGGCTGGAAATCTATAAAAGATCTGGCAATCATTTTCTCCAAACTCCATTAAAATAGACAATGAAAGGATATTGAATCAGACATCAGAAGTGTTTAAAGAGGGCAGAGGAACTTTAAAACACATAAAGGCACAAATGACATTATGTTTATGACATTCTGTTTATGGCATGATGGTTTTTTAAAAAGACTATGACAGCAAGGTAGGGAGACATGTAACTACCAAGCAACTTTCTCACAGACAAAGAAGTTGATAGCACCATATGATAGAATCCATTATTGCCCATCTAAGATGACAATTGATAGGTGTATGAACAGAACTCTAGATTTGCCTTATATCTTTGTATTGTATTGTATTTTGAGTTGATGTTTTATTCTGAATCACTCTGTGCATGCTCTACTTTAATCTGTGTTTGTGGTGTTCTTTACACTCCTCTGGTATGACTTGTCTTTAAGAAACCCATGCTGGGTCTTAGTAAACACACACACACCCCTTTATTGTGGTCCAAAATTAGTAATCACAGCATCTTTTTCTAAGCACTCACAGATTGATTGTTTAACTATACTGAAAATACTATAAAATTGTATATAAAACTGTAAATGAAAGGCAGAATCAAAGATAAAGGTTAAACAATGGAACAAGGGGCAAGAAAAACAAGCAATAAAAATTGAATGATTAATAAAATTATAATGAAATCAGGTTATCGCCATGACAATTTATAGCTATCCTTTAAAGCACCTTTGCATGGCTCTTTGCAACCGTGCAAAAGGAGACAACTTATAAGTCACACACACAAGGGCCACAAAAGGCACTATCTAACAATAGATAACAGTATCTTTTAGCTTATACCTTTTGGAGTATAACCACAATAAAAAGATATCCAGAAACTTAAAGTGGGGTTCCAAGTACAAAGAAAAAACAATATGTAACCTATCTCAGCAGTTCCACAAAGGCATCTATACTGAGTCTGAGGATATTGGCAATCAATCATGCCAATAGCATAGTCTGAAAGGAGATAGCCATAAAGGCTTGTCTGAGCTTAGGTAAGGTAAGATTAACTCAATATGAAGATCTACACTGGCCATTTTTATATAGCCAAAAGTATATGAAAAGGATGAACTTAAAATTATTACTCTATTAGATAGTACTCTTTGTTCAAAATCCTTTTTCTTGAGTATTAGAAGTACTCAATGCCCAAAGGTAGTAAAAACAAGTGAGATCTGCAGCAAAATGTTGGCAGTGTGGAGGATTTCTGTTCAGACTCTGGCCAGACAGTCATGCCCATTTACTAATTGATGGATCGATTTCACTTCCCATGAAACACCCCAAAGTGATTTAACAATATAAACAATCTTGTTCCGCAGTTGTGCCTTGCAAAAACCCAATCTTATCCACAGAATTGAAGCTCAGTTAAGTAAAATCCGCATATCTGACTAGATCCAATTCAGTGGGTAAGATCTGATCTTCACAAGGCACAGTTGCAGAACAACTAAACAAGGTATTGGACCCAGGGAAATTAATCAGTACATACTACAATCAAAATATGGGTCAAGTGAAAGTGTGGCTGAGCCCTGGAAGCCTGATGCCTGCACTGTATGGAACAGACCTCCTGATGAGATGATATCTGCAGGAGGTCCTCTTCTGCAAAGCTCAGTAATCAGCCAAGGACAGAAAGGTTCAGGGGTCAGCAAACTTTTTCAGTAGGGAGCCAGTCCACTGTCCCTCAGACCTTTTTTTGGGGGGGGGGAATGAACAAATTCCTATGCCCCACAAATAACCCAGAGATGCATTTTAAATAAAAACACACATTCTACTCATGTAAAAACACCAGGCAGGCCCCACAAATAACCCAGAGATGCATTTTAAATAAAAGGACACATTCTACTCGTATAAAAACATGCTGATTCCCAAACTGTCTGCGGGCCGGATTTAGTAGGCGATTGAGCCAGATCTGGCCCCCGGGCCTTGCCAACCCATGGTTTAGATGATCTTTTAGGAATCCTGGTCCCAAGCCAAATAGGGCTTTTTACACCAGTATCTGTACCTTGAACTTAGCCTGGTAGCTAACTGGTAGGCAGTGTAATTCTTTCAGCAGCAGCATAACATGATGACAATATTCTGCCCCAGTGAGCAATAAAGCTGCTACCTTTTGCACTAGCTGCAACTTCTGGACCAATGCCCACACAGAGGGCATTGCAGTCATTCAGTCTGTAGTAATTCAGGATACTGTGTTCCACACCCCCATTAGTTTCCTGCCCTCTGGCAGTCAGTTAGCATTTCATTGGCACTAAGCATGCTCAAGTCATCATTGACCTACTTTGGGGGTTCCCCTGTAGTTTCCCCACCCTTAGTTATGTTTTCTAGTTCTGTCTGTTGATTGTGCTTGGATTTGGCTACATAGTGTATGTTGACATTGGCAGCTTCGTGACATGCAGGTGGTCTCAGGTTCAATCCTTAGCATCTCCAGGTAGAAGAGGGAAAGGCTCTTGCTAGAAACCATGGCTATCCAGTGCCTCTCACCAGGGCTTTTTTCCAGATGGAACACACTGGAACTCAGACCCATCACCTCTTAGGTGGGTGCCATTGCCATTATAAGAGAATGAGGGGGGCGTTCATGGTGAGTTCCAGCACCTCTTTGTCTAGAAAAACAGCACTGCCTGTCACAGGAGATAGTCCAGAACCAGATGAACTAATGGTTTCATCCAGCATATGGCAGCTCTCTACGTTATCTCTACAGACTCAGTTAACGCCTGCATGTGATGGGTTATAAACAAAAGTTTAAACTAGCTTTACTCATTTGCTTAGCAGATCTGGGACTCATTCTCAACCAGAGGGCCTCAAAGTAGCTTGGAATAAGCAATTACAGTC